AAAGATTTACACCCTTGGAAACCCTATACAGGGTCGCTATGGGTCGGAACCGACTCGACGGCACTTAACAACAACAACAACATATTATAAAATTCCTATTGGTTTATATAGTAAATGATCATTAGTACTTACATTATCCAGTTCGACTATCTTTACAGATGATTTAGGCCTTTCTATTTTTAATTCTTCTACTGGAAGAAAAAGAGCTGGGTGTTGCTCTTTGGTCACTTCAACTAGGAAATAACATTAAGAAATAATGTCAAGATATACATCTTAGCAGGTAATATATTTTCTTTAAAGTAGCATAACCAACAATACGTTGTGTGTTCACACAAAGATATAAACACTATCAATTTTTCAGATCAAGCAGAATTAGCATTCAATTTTTAATTGAAACTATTTTAATTAAGGCAAAATTAATCTAGGAAATGGAAAGAAGAGAATATATATAATTTTGATCTGGATATCAAGGGCTACATATTCTAGATGAGAATGACACATTAAAGAAAACCAAAAGCAGCTGCTGAATAATTATTGGTGAATTTAACTTGAAATAATAAGTTTGAAAATAGCTAATCAAAGCTGAACTAACCACTTTCATCATCACTTCCATTTGGTGAAAACTGTGTCTCACGAGTGGTTTCACAGGGATGTACGAATTTATCTGGTTGCATGTTAAGAAGTTGATCCTGCATAATTCTGAGAAAAAAAAATCATTCATTATCTGAAACTTTCCCAAATAAGTTCTTGGTTTATTCCACAAATAAGTATAGAAATATAGAAATAATGATGCAACCTTACCTTATCTGCACCTTTAATTAAGGGAGGAAGAAGTATGATTGTATAATAAAATCTTTATCTACTAAAATAATTTTGTAAAGCAAATTGATATTGAATATGATTTGTTAATTACATGCCTTACTGTCTTGTTTTATTTTTTTAACCATTAGCACATTAGAACAACCAGCATTAGGTACACTTGCACCAGGAAATGAATCTTAAATGGTTGGAACCTGTGGCCCACTCTTACTATGTAACCTCATCATGGCTTCTGAGAAAACTTATGGAAGGTTCATCAGGAAGGTCTTTTAACCACTATCCCATTTTCCCATTTATGTTTGGGAGTCCCACCATCGTCTCTTAGGCACAACCAGGATAAGATGAAATGCAGCTTTCTCCAGCAGATAGTAACTTTCCAGTATCTGAAATGAAACCCAATTATCTAGCTCTTCTAATTTTCTACAAAGGATGATAAAGGAGTTGTTGTTGTTAGCTACCACAGAGTGAGTGACCACATGCAAAACAGAACAAAGGAGAAAACAAACTATGCCACTTGTGATTCATTGGCTAATCACTGACTGGTTTTCAGAAGGAGATTGCTAGGTGTTTCTTCAGAGTCCAACTTAGTCCTTACTGCATTGATCAAGAGGAAATGAAAGTTAGGATACCAATAGCAGCTGCCATGAGATGATCCCAACTCATGATGACCCATGTCAGTGAAACTAGAGCTGTTCTCCTTAAAGATTTTTTTTTTAATATTTAATTTTATTTCTTGTTGTTATAGACAATTGAATATACATCAATTCAACAATGTGTACATGTACATACAATTCAATGACATTGATTACATTCTTTGAGTTGTGTAACTATCCTCACCCTCATTTTCAAAGTTGTCCCTCTTCCACTAACAAACTTGTTGTTGCTGTTGTTGTTAAGTGTTGTCGAGTCGATTCCGACCCATAGTGACCCTGTATAGGGTTCCCAAGGAGCCGCTGGTGAGCTTGAACCATGGTCCTTGCAGTTCAAACAGCTTTGCAGTCTGGCACATTAACCCATAGCACCACACCAGGACTCCACACTAAGAAACTTAATGGCCCTTAAATTTCCTATCTTGCCTTCCTATTTGCTGTTGTCAATTAAATCCCATATAGACAGAACTTAAAAGAGCTCAATGCTCAATACAGACATTCTTTACTACTTAAACTAAGCTACTGTTTGGTTTTAAGACAACTTCAGGGCTATTTTTAGTTTAAGGCTTAAAGAAGATCTGAGGGCAATAGTTTCAGGGGATCATGCAAATTTCATGGCTCCAGAAAATCTGAGTTTCTGAGAATTTTGAAATTCTGCTTTGTATTTCCCTCCTCCTTATTAGGATCCTTCTAAAGGATCTTTGATCAAACTATTCAGGAGTGGCAGCCAGGGGTCATTCAGTTCTTCTGGTCTTTTTAGTTCATGGAAGCACTTGCCCACACTTTACATTTACTTCTATTCCTAGTTCTGGTATGGCACTGCAGGATAAGCACTGAACCATAAGGTCAATTTGAACTGCAAGGTCAGTGGTTCAAATCCACCAGCAGCTCTTCAGAAACCCTAGAGAGGATCACTTTGAATTGGAACCAACTCAATGATTCTTAATACTAACATTCTGTTGCACCAGGCAAATAGATATCAATTGTCATACCTTGGATGGCCACTTGCAAGTTTTTAAGACCTCAAAAAATACACAGTGAACTAGGAGATAGAACAAAATTTCTAAACACTATATTAGGCCAATTAACTGGGTTGTCCTATGAAACTATGACCCCAAACCCCCAAACCAAGGAATCAAATACCAAAAGGTGTTTGGCTATTCATAAGCAACCTCAGCAGATAATCATTTTGTTGTTGTTGCTGCAAAAATACATCTCTTGCATAACTTTTACCAATTTGAGTTTTTTCCAGTGTACAACTTATTGACAGCAATTCCATTAATTGGCTGTGCAGCTCTAGCCTTCTTAATCAATGTAATTTGTCCATCACTGCAAACAAAAAACAGTAAGCTCTCCTTGTCCTCCTCATTCACACTCCTGTTAACCACTAACAAACTTTGGTCCCTATATACTTACATTTTCTTGTCTTTTTATGTAAGTGAGGTCATAGACTACTTGTCCTTTTGTGATTGACTAATTTCACTCAGCATAATCCATTCATATCATAACATGCATAACGACTTTCTATTTTTTTACTAGGTGAATAGTTTTCCATTGTATGTATCTACCACATTTTTATCCATTTATCTGTTGATGGACAGTTAGACTGTTTCCACCTTTAGGCTATTGTGACTAGTGCTACAGTGAACATTGGTGTACATGTCTCTGTTTGAGTCTCTGCTTTCAAGTCGTATGTGCACATACCTAGCAGGAGAATTTGGGAGTCATATGTTGTGACACGAAAGGATAAGTACTATGGCACAACGTTGGTTTTAATCACAAGGTCAGTGGATCAAACTCACCAGCAGCTCCTTGGAAACCCTATACAGGGTCACTATAAATTAAAACCAACTCAAAGGCACTTTACAACAGCATGTTAGTTCTATGTTTAGCTTTTTGAGGAACTTCCCAGTGATTTTTTTTACAATAGCTGTACCATTCTGCATTTCCACTAGCAATCAATATATAAGGGTTTCATTTTCCTCACATCCTTGCTGATATCTGTTAAAACTATTAATGTTATTTTTTATGTTAGCTATCTTAGTGAAAATGAAATTTTATCTATTGTGATTTTGACTTCAATCTCTCTGATGGCTAGTAATTGTGCACACCTATTCATGTATTTGGTAGCCATTTGAAAGTCCTCTTTGGTGAAATGTCTATTGAAGTCTTTTGCCAATTTCATGATTGCATTATTTGTCTTTTTGCTGTCAAGTTGTTGCAGTTTTATATATGATTGTTAGATTCTTATCATATATCTTTTCACTTTTTGTTTTAAAAAGTCTTTAGATGAACACAAGTTGTTAATTTTATGAAGTTCCACTTATTTTATTTTATTTTTTTCCTGCTGCTTATGCTCAGTAGTACTTTTCAGTGGCTGATTCTTCAGAAGCAGAATGCCAGGGCTTTCTTCTGAGGTGCCTCTGGGTGGGATTCAAACCTCAACCCTTTTAATTAGCAGTTATTACAGTTGACTGGCTTGAGTTGTGTTCCATAATCTGAATGTTGCAAACCCTAACCTCTATGTCCTGAAGCGATACTCTGGGATGGGAACTGGACAGCTGACTGTAGGGTAGGGGGTTGAGGTCCACCACTGCTCCAGGAAGCCCTGTGCAGGGTCGCTATGGGTCATAGGCTACTCTACCACACTTAACAACAACAACATGCCTGGGGCTATAATCCCATTTGGAAATGGATTCTGTTATGTTAATGAGGCAAGATACCTGTAGGATATATCTAGAGTCAATCTCTTTTGAGACAAAAAGATTAAATAAGTGAGCAGGAGAGAGATGAGAAGACACAAACAAGCCACATGAAGATCATCCAGGAGCAGAAGCTTAAAAGAGGTAAGGGCTTTCCAAGCTGGTCCTGTCGCTATGGCTCCCGTAAACAAGGGTGGCGAGCAGAAGAAGGGTTATTCTGCTATCAATGAAGCGGTGACCAGACAGTACACCATCAACACTCACAAGCACATCTATGGAGTAGGTTTCAAGAAGGGTGCCCCTCAAGCACTCAAGGAGATTTGGAAATTTGCCATGAAGGAGATGGGAACACCAGACGTGTGCATTGACACCAGGCTCAACAAAGCTGTCTAGGCCAAAGGAATTAGGAACGTCCCGTACTGTATTTGGGTGCAGTTGTCCAGAAAATGTAATGAGGATGAAGATTCATCAAAGAAGCTCTATACACTGGTGACTTTTATGCTGTTACTACTTTAAAATACCTACAGACACTCAATGTGGATGAAAACTAACAGTTTATGATCAAAACAATTTATAAATTTGCCTTCAAAAAAAAAAAAAGATGCAAGGATGTTCTTCCAGAACCAAGAGAGAGAAGACTTTCTCTAGAGTTAGCACCCTGAATTCAGACTTCTAGCCTCCTAATCTATAAGAACACACATTTCTGTCTGTTAAAGCCACCCATTTGTGGTATTTCTGTTATAACAGCACTAGATAACTAAGACAGCAATGAAGTGTGTTAACTATTTGCACCACCCAAGCTCCCTAATGCCAGTAGAGTTCACAAAACATACTACACTATTCCAAAGGTCAACCTATGAATGTGTGTCAGATCCCATGACCTAGAGCTTATGCTGATAAGTACTAATAAAAGAACCTGAGGATATTCTTACAGTTTCCACCAAGTCAGTCATGGTGGTGATGATGGTATGCTATGGAGTTGATTCTGATAGGGTTTCCTAGGATGTAAATCTTTACAAGAGCAGAAAGTCTCATCTTTCCCCCATAGACCAGCTGATAGTTTTGAACTGCTAACCTTGAGGTTAGCAGCCCGACTCATAACTACTACACTATCAGAGCTTCAAGTCAGTTGTTGTTGTTAAGTGCCATGGAGTCGATTCTGACCCATAGCAACCCTGTAGAGGATTTCTGAGGAGCAGCTGGTGTAGGGTAATACAATTTGCTCCCACAATACGAATGTGAAAGTGTTCTAGCTGTAGAATGTATTGTTGGAGGTAATGCCACTTTGGAAAATAGTTGACAGTTTGGCAGTTTCCCATAAAGTTAAATATACACATCATATAAACCAGAAATCCTACTCTCATATCTTTGCCTAAATGAATTAAAAACATATATTCAAACAAAAACCTGTCTGAAAATGTTTATAGACACTTTAGTTATAATTTCCAAAGACTGGAAACCATCAGGATGGGTTTCAACAGATGAATAGATATATGTACTGTGCTATATGCAGTGGATGACATCCTACTCAGGAAAAGAAAGGGAACAAACTATTGATTCATGTAACAACATGGATAAAACATAATGTATTTTTCTAAGTAAACAAAATAGTCACAAAGAGCTACATACGATTTCTTCTAAATAGCTTTAAGAAAAAAGCAATAGAAGGGATGAAGAAGTGACCACAAAGGCAGAGTACAAGTGAGTTTTGGGAATTCTGGAACTTTTCTTATTTGGTACTGTTGTGATTAGATGATTCTATGCATTTGTGAAAACATACCACAATTTTAATCTATAACAGCATTGAAAAAAAAACATCAACCAGGATTTAAGGGGAATCAAACAATAAATGAAGTGAGTAAGAAATTAGTTAGTTTATGTAACTTAAAAACAGGGCTCTGACTGGATTCTGTCAAAAACAAAAGGCATTATGCACAAACTCTTTACTATAGTTGGTAAATTTGTTTCTCCCAAGGTTTGTTGTTGTTTTTAGGTGCCATTGAATCAGTTCTGACTCACAGCAACCCCATGTACAAAAACACAAACACTGTACCCTGGACCATCCTCATAACTATTATGTTTGAGCCCACTGAACACTGTCATTGTGCCTCCTCCTATTTTTCATGAACTCACTACTCTACCTCCTTCTTCTCCAGGGATTGCTCTCTCCTCATAACATCCCATTCAGGGACAGGAGTTAGAAATTCTGAAACTACTATATACTAAGACTGAACAAATTAGTCAATATATATAAAAGAGGTTTCTCATTAAAGTTGAATGAAATTATAAAACAAGCAAAGGAAGAATACTAAACGAACCCTGTCATGCTGGTTTGGAATCAGAAGTGTATGAACTTCTGTTTAATTTAATAGGTATGCAGATAAATGCTGTTGTTGTTGTTAAGTGTCATCGATTTGGTTCCTACTCATAGCGATCCTGTATAGGGTTTCTGAGGAGCAGCTGGTGAGTTTGAACTGCCAGCCTTGCTGTTTAAACTGATTTTGTGGTCGAGTGCTTATCCTACAGCACCACACCAGGACTCCAACAGATATATCAGGAAGAGAAATTAATTTAGTTGTATGTGTATAAAGGGGTTAGTATATGTACAAAGAGACTCCCTAGCTTTGTCCTCTAAGAAGCCCTGATAGCTGTGATGCCCAAGTAGCCATGACTCCATAGACCCTGTGTAGGATTTCCCAGGAATGGCTGATGAGTTTGAACTGCTGACCTTGTAGTTCAAACCGACTTTACACCAATGCTTATCCTACAGCACCACAAAAGGACTCCACAAGAGACCCTGTTTTGGTTTCAGAATAAAATGAAGCAGGATTCTTTAGAGAATTAATTATAGGACTGGGGCACAGAACATCCATCTTGGGTGCCAGGAACACTGAAGCTCAAAACCAAACAACAAACATAACAGGATGAGAACATGACAAAAAGACAGAGGAATCATCCTGAAAAAGATGCCAATGGTTAAAGTAGGAAAAATTTGAATCACAAAGTAAATAACAATAGTAATGAATATTAATCTAATGAATAAAATAAATATCCATGAGCCCATATAACAACTAAAAGATAAATGACAGGAGAAGAAGGAACGGCTCATCCTTGAAGAAGAATCTCAATTAATAGAAGAAAACAACGGAACAAAGCAAACAGAAAATCACCATCAGAATAATTGCTGCAGGAAAAAATTCACTGATGAATACTAAACTTCATAGGTGAAAGTCTAAGGAAAACATTATTTTCATAATCTCAAAGCATAACCTCTAAAAGAATAATTACAATAGGAAAATAGTGACTTTACAAAGAAGAAACTTGGTGAAAACTATCTGAACGTGATTGAGTTAACATCACCAGTAATAAGACCTACTGACATGGTCAGCCCATGATATTATACATTAAGAAGGGCACATCATCTCTGTGGTTTCTTCTGAAAAATGTTTAACTGTTCTGATTCTGATTATAATAAAACATAGACAGACTCAAGCTAAAGGACATTGTCTAAAAATCATGTAAAAAAATATTCTTCAAAAGTATCAAGGTCATGCAAACAAGGAAAGCACTGGGCGAAGCTATGCAGACAGAAAAACAAAATGCAATGTGGGATCCTAGACAGAACACTGGGACACAATTAGCATAGTAGTGGAAATACTGATGAAACCCAAACAAGGTCAGTTTAGAATCAGGTGTGGGGAATGCCCAGCCTTCAGGCCATATAAGACCTAGATCTACAAAATCATTTGGTCTGGCCCTGCCAAGGCTATTGCAGTTCCAGCTATCACATTTGGGGTGAGTTAATTAAATGTTTGACCAAATACAACAGTCTAATTTTTAAGTTGATAATTTTGTATGACCCGCAAATGGTGTTAAAAATTTTGGCAGAAAAAAAGTTCCTCACCTCTGGTTTAGACAATAGTACTGTATCTGAGCTAATTCCTTATTTTTGATAACTGTGCTATAGTTATTTTAGACATTAGCATTAAGAAAATCTTAATTAAAAATATATAGGAATTTTCTGTACTATTTTTGCAACTCTTCTGTAGTTTTATTTCAAAGTTGTTGTTTGTTGTTAGGTGCCATCAAGTCGACACCGACTCATAGTGACCGTATGCACAGCAGACCGAAACACTGTCCGATCCTGGGCCAACCTTACTACTGTTGCCACACTTGAGTCCATCAATGCTGCCACCTGACCAATACATCACATTGGGGTTGTTCCTCTTTGTCTCTGACCCTCCATCTTACCAAACATGATATCCTTCTCCAGCGACTGGTCCCTCCTGACAATATGTCCAATGTATGAGAGACGAAGTTTGGCCATCTTGGCCTCCAAGGAGCACTCAGGCTGCACTTCTTCCAAAACAGATCTATTGGTCCTTTTGACAGCCCATGGCACTTTTAGTATTCTCCTCCAACACCATAATGCAAAGGCATCAATTCTTCTATGATCTTCCTTATTCACTGTCCAGCTTTCACATACATATGAAGTTATTGAAAATACCATGGCTTGGGTCAAGCGCACCTTAGTCCTCAAGCTGACATCTTTGCTCTTCAACACTTTAAAAAGTTCCTGTGCAGCAGATTTGCCTAATGCAATGCGTCATCTGATCTCTTGACTGCTGTTTCCATGAGTGTTGGAAGTAGATGGTTTAAAAAATATATGCCAGAAGAAACAGAGTTGAAAAGCAGGGGAGATTATTAGCTTTTCAAACAGAAATCACAACGTATATATGAGGGCTGAATTGAAAATCTAAAGGGGTATCATGGTTGGTTGTGTGTCTTCAATTTGATTCTGACTCAGAGTCGCTGTATAGGATTCAGAGACTGCAAATCTTTACAGGAGCAGAAAACCTAACCTTTCTTCTGCAGAACAACTGGTGAATTTGAACTGCTGACCTTGTAGTTAACAATTCAATGTGTAACCCACTATGCTACCAGAGTTCCTTATAGGGGTGCCCTGTTGTTGTTAAGTGCCGTCTAGTCAGTTCAGACCCATAGCAACCCAGTATACAGTTTCCAAGGAGTGACTGGTGAGCTTCAACCACCAACTTTATGATTCTAAGCAACTTTGGAGTCCAGAATATTAGTTCATAGTGTCACACCAAGACTCCATAGTCCTGGGTGACATAGAGAGGAAAAACTAGAGCATCTCTGTATAGGCTAAGTGAATAGAATTAGGACCAGGTTTTAAGACTTGTTGTTAAGTGCCATCAAGTCGGTTCTGACTCATAGCTACCCTGTATAGGGTTTCTGAGGTACAGATGGTGGGTTTGAACTATCTGTGGTTAGTAGACCAGAGCATACCCTAAAGTGCTATACCAGGAGACATATTAAAGTTGTAGGTTAATGCACTGGACTACAAAGTTGGCCATTCAAGCTCCCCAGCTGCTCCTCAGAAACCGTATACGGGGTGCTATGAATTGGAACCAACTCAACAGCACACAACAACAACAGGAGATTTTTTATCAGACAAAAGTCTCCTAAGATGAAATGGGCTGCCTCAAGGTATGTTTTTTATGACTGATAATACAACAAGCATGGCACCATCACATAAACATCTGAGAGAGTTCCTTCATCACCTTACTCCTGAAAATGTGGTCCCAAGATTAAGCAGCAGCCACCCCAGTATCACAAGGGAGCCGTGAGAAATGCGGAAATGCAGAATTTCAGGCCGGACCCCAGACCTGAAGAAGATTGTGTATTTTTTAACCACAGTTTTTAGGTGATCTGAAGCCACAAGGAAGCAGTGCTGTGGAGCAAATTGAGTTGGAGATCTGTAACAGTACTTCCCAAATCTGAACTGCTATGGTTCGTGTAGAAATCTAAAATTATGAATTATTCTAGCATTTACTTGTTTAATATTATAACTAATATACGAAATGGTGCATCTATTATTAGTTGGTTGGCTATGTGCCGACAAGTTGGTTCTGACTCACAGCGACCCCGTATAGGGTTTCCAAGGAGTGGTAGTTGGTGCTTGAATGGCTGACCTTGCAGTTAGCAGTCCAGTGCTTATCCTACAGTGCCACACCAGGACACTATCTAATGATACAGTCTTTGAATAAAATCTATTTGATTATTATCAATAAAACTATAAAATTAAAGATTTAATTAACTTAAAAGTAGATTCTGAAAACTGTTGCCTTAAAAGTATATGCAAATGTAAGAAATCTGTTAGTAATTCTTCTTCAAAGTAATCTGCAATTTATCATACTATTGTTGCTATTATTCTTAAATTCTCTACCACATTTATGCCTTTTTTCTACATATAATTGCCATTTCTCAAGGAAAACCCTAAATTAATGATGCATCATACTCATACGTAGAATTTAAATTCTTCATTAGAATATGCAAATGAATATAATATTGCTTTAGAATTATCTATGCAAATAGGAAATATACATATAGAAGTGCTACAGAATTGTATATTACACAATAAGGAATATAGTTTTCATATTTTTTTAAATATTATAACAATTTTAATAATACCTCCTTTGCTTTTTAAGCCATAATTTTTCCATATAGGATAGACTGTCTTCTTTAAATTCAATCTCAAGTGGTTCTCTCCAAATTTTCAAATTAGTCTGTACTTCACACACTTCCATTGAGTCTAAAAAGGTAAATACAATATGTATAAGCAGTGTAGTCTAGTCTATAAATGATCAGATCTTATCTCAAGATACAGAACTCACCTTTTTTAAGGTATATGGACTTTGATAATCAATAGTTTCAGGTGTAAAGAGTACACAAGAGTTAAATATTGGTCACCTATTAAATAACCCTATAGAAATTGTCTTCAATAATTCCTTGAACATCTTATCATTTACAAGGCTTTTTAAGGCAACTAATTCTTTTATAGGAGAAAGAGATATGTAAGTAGATGCATTATACGTTCTATAAACACACACACATAAAGATGTCAATTACCACTACTCATGATAATATTTATACATTACAGGAAACAGAAAATAAATAATTCAGAATGACACCTGCAGGAGACAACTGTCTTTATGAATTTATATCTATATGGCAGTTTACTTCCAGATGCTTAACATATTTCTGAAATGATACTAAATTAAAATCACTATTAAGGGGAATTTAGAAGTGAGGATGGTTTCTGGAAAAGAAAGCTGTACAAGTCCAAGATTACATGTGTCTCTATGCTCCAAGTATCACTCCTCTCTCCATAATAATGAAAAAGAGGTAGAGGATAGCAGAAGGAGAATAAAAAAAATAAGATGGAAGCATAATTTTGTTTTTTGTTTTAATATAATCTCTAAAATTAGAGTTGTCCCAACCTTAAACTGTAGACTGTAAAGATTTGTGGCCATGTAAAGACAGAGGCAAAGATTTGGAGTGCAACATCTACAAGCCAAAGAATGTCAAGGATCACTGGCCATCATTAAAAGTCAAGAGGCAGGCATGGAGCAGATTGCTCTTCAGAATCCTCAGAAGGATTCAATAATAGCAGACCCCTGATTTATGACTCCTCTCCTCCAGAGCTGTGAGACAACACATTTCTGTATGTTCTTATAAACCACCCAGTCTACGGTCATTCATATAGCAGTCCTAGGTAAATAAATCAGCAGGAGGCCTGGGTATAAGGATGCTGTAAGATGTGAACTAATACTCCTGGAAAATAGATTAATGACATTTTCTAAAAGAACCTTTACCTATGTACTGATTGTAACAAGCTGTCACTGATTTAGGATTCTAGTGTGGTGCTGTAGGATAAGCATAGGACTGCTAGGTCAGTTTGAACCACAAGGTCAGTAGATGGTTCAAACTCACCAGTTACTCCTTGGAAACCCTACATTGGATTGCTATGAGTTGGAATTGACTTGATGACACTTAACAACTACAACAAAGTAAAAAAAAAGCTTGAATATATGGATTTCTGCAGCATGTTATTGTTAAGTACCATTGATTCTGGTCTGACTCAATATGTATGTTTTTAGAGGAGTGCCTGATGGGTCTGAACTACCTACCTTCAGTTGTTGTTCTTACTATTAAATGCCATAGATTCAATTCCAACCCATAGCAACCCTGTATAGGGTTTCCAAGGAGTCCAGTATTTATACTACCGTGCCACATCAGGTCTCCTCTTGAGGCAAAATATCACATAATCTATGTAATTTAGACTGTGGTTTTGTGTGCTTGTTTCATATTTCACTGGTTAATTTTTTTAATCGTTTCTATTTAAGTGATTTGGGTGAAAGTTTACATAGCAAATTGTTATTGCATTTAACATTTCAAACGTTTTGCCTTGTAGCAATCCTCCCTGGTAAACAGTACTCTTCAACCTTACTCCCTGTGTTTCCCACTTCCATTCATCCTTCTTTCCTGAAGTTTCCTTCCCTGCTGATCTGAGCTTTATCCGTGGTCAAATGGTGCCATTTTGATCTCTATGGTTGATTATTCTAAGGAATAAATTTCTGCCTGGTGTTCTTGCTCACATTATAAACCTATCTATTATCTGGCTGAAATTTCAACCACTGAGTATGTTTTGTGAGAACCTGCATGATATGCTATATGGCTTATAGTACAGGATCATGGGGATTTTCCTTAATAAACAGAACAAGTCCTAAAGTGAAAGTATGTTTGAGGTGTTTGAGGCACAGCTTGAAGGCCAGTGTGGCTGAGACTGAATGAGAAGCGTGAGTAATAAGAGATAAGTTCACAGCGATAACAGGATTCACATCACATACAACCTTGTAGGGAAAAGTCTTCTTAGTAAGATTGTTGCCTTTTGCTTTGAGAGAAATAAAGGGCCCTTGAAGAACAAAAAGAAAATTAAGTTAGAAATAAATAGCAGAAAGGCAAAACATGACTTTGACTATATCCATGTGAATTTACAGACCATCTCAAGACCATATTGATGCATTCATTAGACACTCATGCCAAAGACCAGAAGAGTTGTGAGATGACATCAAGAACATCATACAGGAAGAAAACAAAAGAAAAAATTTTCCTGACATTAAAAAGACAGAAATAACAAAGAAAAAACCAGATTGGCTCTCAGTAGAAACTCTGAAACTTGCACTTGAGCACAGATAAGCTAAAGTGAATGGAAGAACTGAAAAAGTAAAATAGTTTGGCAGAACAATTCAAAGGACATCTTGAAAGACAGT